GTGCCGACGGCTGAGGGAGTCGGCCAACACCATATTGGAGGTTCAGAGCCAGTTGGGAATCTGAAAACAACACTCCATCTCCATGGACCATGGATGTGTTTTCTTTGGAAGTTTATTTGATGGGCGATCTGATCTGTGTTTGTTTTGAGTTTTGAAGTTAGCTTTGAGGGAGAGCTGAGAGATTTGGAAGTAGTTGTTAAGGAAATCTTTTATGTTAGTTTCTTTACAATACATCCCATGCACACTTTTGTTAGAAAAGAGAATAGTTGCTAAAGTAATTAATGAAGAAGAACCGATAGTTTATTCAAGTGTTTTTTTGAGGTGAGTTTATTCCTCTAACAAACTAGGAGACTTATTCAAACTAACAACCTTCCTTAAACTTAATCATCCACGCAATCAGTTTACACATGCTACAACTCCTAACTTGAGTGGCTTAGTCATGACATCAACTACTTATTCTTGTGAACAACAATGTTACAGCTCAACAGTTCCATTCCTCCTAAGATCTCTTGGGAAATGAAAGCGTACATATGTGTTTACTTCTCCCATGCATAACTGGATTTCTTGACAACTTTATGGTAGAACTATTGTCACAATATAAAATCGTAGAACTTGCTTGATTTCTTCCTACTGCTTCAWGTATTCGTTTAAGCCACACAGCTTGACAAGAACTTGCTGCTGCTGCAATAAATTTTGCTTCAGTTCTTGATAGACTTATCACTGGTTGTTTCTTCGAGCTCCATGATTGCAGCCTCACTCATCATGAATATATAGCCCGATGGACTTTTTTCTGTCTTCAACGTCATTGACATAGTCACTATTAGTATAACCAATCAAATCTTTTCCTCCATTTCTCTRATAGAACAATCCAAATTCACAAGTTCCTTTGAGATAGCATATGATTCGCTTAACTGCTAGTAAATGAAACTCTTTTGGATTTTCCATAAACCGACTCACTTGACTCACACTGTACGTGATGTCTGGTCGTGTGGTAGTTGCGTACATTAAATTATGAGTGACCGACGTCATCCCTAAAGGGTCTCTTTCGAGATAAGAGTTTGGAGTCGCCACCAATCATCTACGATGTGTGATTGGTCACCTATTTAAAAAAAACAAGGTTTACGAAAAACAGATTGTTGATTCGAGAGTTAACTGAGCGTAGGGAAGGTGTTAGCACCCTACAACACCCGTTTGAAAATGGTACCATATTTTTTGGTTCCAATTCCCGTCAWTGGAGTTTTTGAAATAATTATTTAGTAAAAAAATAATAAATAAAAAATAATTTTAATTTAGGGCACATTGAAACTTAAGCTTGTAAGCTGAATATTAATACTCAAGCCTCTTACCAATGTGCTAACACTTTAAGATGCAATTTGACTTTCCTTTTCAAAATACATACTTTTATTTTTAAATTTTGTTTAAAAAAAACTCTAAACGAAATTTTTTATTTAAAATAATTATTTAGTAAAAACAATGTTAATCTCGCAGTGAAAACGAAGATCTTTGTTCTTGAATTTTGAGAAACAAAAACCACAAGTTTTAAAAAAAAATACAGGGGAAAAGAATTTTCATTTACCTTTGAAGAATCGTTTTTTCCAAGGAATCATCGGTAAATTCGTTCACAACCACCGATTTTCCCGACTATTCTCTGTGTCCGAAGGAAAGCTTGYGGGAGCCCTTTTTTTGAAGTCAAGGAAACTTTTCAATTCAAACATTTGAGAGCACCACACCTTAGGAAGAGGAATGCAGGTGAAGAACTTGGAACCAAAATGTAGAACTGTTCTACATGTATCACCCATGATGACGTGGGGTAAACATATTCTAAAGCATTTCTTTCATATAATCTATAGTTGTAATGTACATCTTATGCACATTATTTTTAACCTCATATTCATATTGATTTTTTTATTTGAATCTCATTCAAATAATGTATCTCATAATATATAGTTTTAATTTAGAATTAACCATATATTATAATGTATCAATATACATACATCTAATCCATTGAGCAATTTGAACATTTCAAATTCTTAAAAAAAAAACCTTGACCCTCGTTTTACCTGTTGTGAGCTAGTAGGAGGACTTAATGGACCTACAGATCAGAAGCTCCAACGATACGAGATCAATCGGTCAAACTCATTAATCGAGTTAATCAACATTCGTTAGCTATGGGTCACTCCACTAAAGACCCGCAGCTGCACTATTCTCACTGCAGAATGTTTTCGTGTCCACGGATATACGACCATTAATGGCAAGTCAATCATTCACGCGTGCTCATAACTCAAGTTGGGTCAAATTACCGTTTTACCCTTGAGTTACATCTTACTCTTTAAGTACCACTGCTCCTCTAATGAACAACCCGGTTATGGTCCAACCAATAATCGAAAGTCTCTTTAGGGACAGTGAGAGGGTGAGACCCCTTGTTCATGTTCCGGAATCAGCATTTAAGAGAACACTCATCTACTCCCCGAGAGTCGGGGAGGAGAGAATTCCATCTCGTAAAGTTATGTTCCCAACTCCCCATACAGATCAAAGGACGAGCCYTAACGGGCAGGAGTCCATAACTTACTCAGGATTGRGAATGAGTTGYCTGGTYATCCTATGAAATAGCAATCTATTAGTCGACGACGTTACATCTAAAGATCGGCTATTTCGTGGTCTGGTCTTATACAAACTCATTGTATAGGATACCCCCACTCGCATGTCTCCACACGAATGACTTGGATCTAGTCGTCTGTAATATTTACAAAGTGGGCCGTATCCATAGTGTTGCCAGGATAAGGTACCCAGCCTTATCCATATACTTTAGCACAACTAATGAATGTAACTCAGATGAATGCATGATTCATATTTTCAATATTTAACCATGATATGAAAATAATTTATTTTTTGAAGAATATATATGCAAGTGATGTGAATGCATGACTTGTGAAAATATGGTAGAGAGAACAAGAAGTTTTTCCATATTTGGTAAAGATATTGTACTTTGTCTACTCTTATCCTTCTTATTAGCAACATTTAGCAAATAATCAAAGAAAAAAAAAATAATGTCGACATCGGAGGAAACCTGTCAACTCATTTTCCTTTTCTTTTGCGCATTTTTTTTAATGAATGCCTTCACTTGATAAGAGATATACACATCAAGGTAATTTCTCAACCATATCAGGTTTGGTGGGGGATTCTTTTTTAGAAGTATCTCATGTGCAAGTTTCAATACAATTTCGTATTTTAAGGTGACTAGAACAAAAAAAGAAATCGTGGTCGGGAAGGTTATAGTAGCAAAAGCCAGATGTGTATAAGAGACAGGACTAGAACAAAAAAAGAAATCGTGGTCGGAAGGACTATCGAATGTGATTTATTAATTAGCATTGGACATCTTGCTTGATTGAATTACTTCATAACCTTAGCATCGTAATTGACAAGACGGATGGATACAAGAACATTAATTTGACATTAGGAACAAGTGAGATTGGAAATTGCAATTTTCAACAAAGCTAATTAATGATGAATAAAAGTCAGCGGACTTACTTTTTAAAGAAAATGAAAATAAGAGTTGAAGGATATTTTATCAAATCTCTTTGAACAATAAGAGATTGGATTTTTTTTTTAAAGCTTTGGTAAGAAAAATAGTTAAAAGGATCCAATTTCTTTGGATAAATAACCTTGAGAATTGGTTGCGTAACTCCCCAAGAGTTCATCTCATGTACCATTCTTTGAGCTTAGCTAGAGACACTTGATGAAATCATCTTTCTAGCCACATGTTTTTCTTCACGGAAATGTTGTTGTGGTCCACYTTAAATGTAAAGACTGTCTTTTTAGCCTTAGTTCCGAAGTGCCGTTCTTCACAGGAATATTGTTGTAGTCCGCTTCTTGAATGTAAATGACCTCTCCGTTTAGCCTTCAATTTCAAAGTGAAGTTMTTTATGGAATGTTGTCTAATAGTCCACTTTGTACAATGAAGGATTTTTTTGAAATTGAAAAATTTCCTACGAGAGAGATGAGACATTCTTAGTCTGAAGATGACCTTTGTTTCAAAGTTTTGTATAATGCAGTTACAATTTTGCACYGATGTAGCATTGCTTGACTGTGCCCCAGTTTGAAGATTTGTGAAGAGGATTTTGAAGCCTTTGGAACTGATGTTGTGGATCCATGTCAGTTGCCTCAGTCGTTGAACTAAAGCATTGTCATGAGCTTAGACAAACTTTTTTCTTTTTCTTTTTTTTGTTTATTTATTTATTTTATTATATATATATATAATTTTTTTTGGCCAGGCACAACATTTTTTACAAACAAAATAGGGTGCAATCACATATAAAAAAGTTGATCATCCTTTTGTAACCCTGACTGCTGTTCCAAAGTATTTCTTTGCTATTGCTCCAATAACATGATGAAATTGTTCTCAAACGAAGCTCATTAAAGGAGAATGAGATCTTGAGACTATTTTTCAAGTTGTGAACTTCCCAATTCTCAAAATTACTATCCWCATCTTGGAATCACTTTTTACTCAAAAGAAAAGAATAGACGAAAGATTAAGCTTAAAGAACAAGACGAAAGAGAGTTGGGAAGCAAATTTTAGATATGAATAAAATAAGTCAAAATAGGGAGATGTTTATGCAACCACAAGTATCAATTCATGAAGCAATGAATCATAAGAGCCCAATCTTGTTTTATTATCTTCAAAGTTCTTGGGGTAACACTAGGTGGATAATTTTGGATATTTACCACGTAATTAGATATGACAGGCTTAATTAGTAAAATGCTTTTATGGTAAGTAGGCAAACATGGATATTCATCACAAAAAATTGTATGATATAGACTAAGCAAATGATTTTTTTGCAATAAATGGTCAACTCTCAAGATTGACCATATTTACCATATATCGGTAGGCTAGGCTCAAGGTAGATTAGGCTCAAAGCAGACTAGGCTCAAGGTTTTATATGGAGCGAGTAATTTTAGATTCTTACCTCAAAAAGACATCCTTGCCTAAGTATGAAAATTTGGTGGTTTGCTAGTTAGCACATGAAAAGAAATAGGTAAGCAAAAAATAAAGTTGTTTTGAGTTAGGGAATTAATCCGACGATGAAGCTTGGAAAAATATCTTTCAAAGAAGAAAAAAAAGGTTGAGACTTGAAAAAATTTAATCTCATCAAGAACACTAAAGGCCTTTTTTCACTTTTTTTTTAACATTGTTTTCCTTTTTTTTTCACATTTTTCCTTTTTTTTCACATTTTCATTTTTTCCACAACATTTTACATTTTACTTTTTATTTTTATTTTTTCACCTTTTTTTTGTTTCCTCCAAGAGACTC